ATGTTCTAAAGAACATGGTGTGTACTGGATTGTGGATTTGTTGACATTTCCACCGAGGCTTATCACCGTTTTCCAAAGCTCAGTTTCCCTTCAAATTAAAGCTGATCCTGCGTCTAGCTGGGCGTCATCCTATTGCACAGACACAGGGCTATCAGCTGGTATGCATTTGGGGTAGCCTGGTTAAATTCCAGGGGGGAAAGGATGTTTTAAACTTTGATGTGTTACCGCAATGGGATGCAGCTTTTTGTGAAGTTTGCATGCAAGCAAAGGGGCACTCTGTTGGTAATGTTCCAAGTCAGCAAAAAGTTAAATTGGCAGTTGTTCAGGATTGTATTTGGGAGACCAGTGGCTATGAAAAATGGGGTGAATAGACCTTTTTACCGATACGGCGGCCATCTTAAATCAATTCGATTTAAGGAGAATTATAGGATGCCCAGGGGGCATGAGCACATTTCGTTTGTATTTTCGAGCGCTTTTCGGGACATTTTTTCTTAAAGTTTTGTTAGAATAAGATTCTAATGGAAAAAAAGATCCTTGTGCCATGTTTGGATGTAATAATGATCGCCTTTTTGCCGAGAAATAGACAGTGAAAGACCATATTTGTAATACTAAACTAAGAAAAAGGCGATCATAGTTGTCGCTGTTGTCACTGTTGTCGCTATTCTTGCTGTTGTCGCTGTTGTCATTGTTGTCGCTAAAGACCCTGTTGTCCCTGTTACTACTGTGGTCACTGTTGTCACTCTCCTCACTGTTGTCATTGTTGTCACTGGAATCACTGTTGTCACTGTTGTCGCTGTTATCCCTTTTCTCACTGTTGTCCCTGTTGTCCCTGTTCTCGCTGTCGTCACTGTTGTCGCTGTTGTCACTATTGTGGCTGTTGTCACCATTGTAACCGTTGTCGCTGTTGTCACGTTCTCCCTGTTGTCCCTGTTGTTACTGTTGTCACTGTTGTTGTCACTGTTCTCGCTGTTGTCACTGTTGACGCTGTTGTCGATGTTGTCACTGTTATCGCTGTTGTCACTGTGGTCACTGTTGTCGCTGTTGTCACTGTTGTAACTGTTGACGCTGTTGTCACCATTGTCGCTGTTGTCGGTGTTGTTACTGTTGTTGCTGTTCTCACTGTTTTCACTGATGTCCCTGTTTTCACTTTTGTCGCTGTTGTCCCTCTTGTCACTGTTGCAAGGTTGTCACTGTTGTCACTGTTGTTGCTGTTGTTATTATTGTCGCTGTTGTCACTATTGACATTGTTGCCGCTGTTGTCGGTGTTGTCCCTGTTGTCACTGTTCTCGGTGCTGTCGCTGTTGTTGCTGTTGTCGCTGTAGTCGTTGTTGTCAGTGTCGTCGCTGTTGTCGGTGTTGTCACCGTTGCTGCTGTTGTCGGTGTTGTCCGTGTTGTCGCTGTTGTCACTTTTGTCACTGTTGTCGCTGTTGTCACTGTTGTCACTGTTGGGTCTGTTGTAACTGTTGCACAGTTGTGGCTGTTGTTGATGTTGTCACTGTTGTCGCTGTAGTAGTTCTTGTCAGTGTCGTCGCTGTTGTTGGTATTGTCATTGTTGTGGCTGTTGTCGATGTTGTCACTGTTGTTCCAGTTGTCGCTGTTGTCGATGTTTTCGCTTTTATTGGTGGTGTAGCTGTTTTTGCTGTTGTCACTGCTCTCACTATTGTCACTGTTGTCACTGTGGTCACTGTTGTTGCTGTATTCGCAGTTGTCACTGTTGTCAATGTTGTCAATGTTGTCACAGTTATCGCTGTTGTCACTGTTGTCGCTGTTGTCGCTGTTGTGGCTGTTGTGGCTGTTCTCACTGTTGTTGCTGTTGTCACTGTTGTCACTGATGTGACTGTTTTCCCTGTGGTCACTGTTGTCACTGTTGCAAGGCTGTCGCTGTTGTTGTTCTTGTCAATGTTGTCGCTGTTGTCACCATGGTCACTGTTTTATCTGTTGTCGCTGTGGTCACTGTTGTCGCTGTTTTCACCGTTGTCACTTATGTTGGTGCTGTCGCTGTTGTTGCTGTTTTCCATGCTGTCACTGTTGTCGCTGTTGTCAGTGTTGTCGCTGTTGTTGGTGTTTTCATTGTTGTCTGTGTTTGTGTTGTCACTGTTTTCACTGTTGTGGCTGTTGCGGTGTTGTCACTGTTGTAGCGGTTGTCACTCTTGTTGCTGTTGTCACTGTTGACACTGTTGTCGCTGTATTCGCTGTTGTTACTGTTGTCACTGTTGTCGCTGTTGTCACTAATGTCACTGTTATCGCTGTTGTCACTGTTGTTGCTGTTGTCCCTGTTGTTGGTGTTGTCATTGTTTCCCTGTTGTTACTGTTGTCACTGTTGTCGCTGTTGTCGGTGTTGCCGCTGTTGTCACTGTTGTCGCTGTTATCACTGTTGTCACTGATGTAACTGTTTTCCTGTTGTCGCTGAAGTCACCAAGGTCACTATTGTCGCTGTTATCACTCTTATCACTGTTGTCGCTAATTTCACTGTTGTCACTTTTGTCACTGTTGTCAGTGTTGTCACTGTTGCCGCTATGGTCACTGTTGTCGCCATTATCGCTGTTGTCACTCTTGTCACTCTCGTCGCTGTTGTCTTTGTTTTTACTGTTGTCACTGTTGTTGCTGTTGTCGTCGTTGTCAGTGTTGGCACTGTTGTCGCTGCTGTCACTGTTTTCAGTGTTCTCGGTGTTGTCGCTGTTTTCACTGTTGTCACTGTTGTCGCTATTGTCGCTGATGTTGCTGTTGTCAATGTTGTCGCTGTTTTCCCTGTTGTCGCTGTTGTCACTTTTGTCACTGTGGTCACTATTGTCGCTGAAGTCACTAAGGTCACTATTGTCGCTGTTATCACACTTATCACTGTAGTCGCTGATTTTTCTATTGTCACTGTTGTCGCTGTTGTCACTGTTGTCACCATTGTCGCTGTTGTCACTCTCGTTGCTGTTGTCTTTATTTTTACTGTTATCACTATTGTTGCTGTTGTTGCTGTTGTTGCTGTTGTCGCCGTTGTCACTGTTGTCACTGTTGTCGCTGTTGTCACCGTTGTCAGTGTTGTCGGTGTTGTCGCTGTTTTCACTCTTGTCACTCTTGTCGCTGTTATTACCGTTGTGGTCGTTGTCGCTAAAGTCGTTGTTTTCGCTGTTGTTGGTATTTTCGCCGTTGTCACTGTTCTCGCTGTTGTCGATGTTGTCGGTGTTGTCACTGCTCTTGCTGTTGTCAGTGTTGTCGCAGCTGTCACTGTTGTCACTGTTATCGCTGTTCTCACTAGCCTGAGTATCAGGCCTTCCTAAGGGGCTAGGGGAGAGGAGATTTTAGATGGGGGAGGGGGGGGAGGGGAGAAAAGAAAGGAAGGCCTGACACAAAACCATTCAGCAAATCGTGTGACACATGCAAAATCTGGATGTGGCAGTGATTGGATAACACACAATACCCAATGACGTCACCGACCGCAAGAGCGATCGGCAAGGAGAAGCCATTGAAATTTTTACTGGGCTGCCTGTGCGGCCCAGTCATAAAATGGGCTTTTGGTTGTCGGTGTCAAAAAGTGGTCTCCCGGGGGAGGGAAGACACGAGGGTCTGGTACAGAGAAACGATGTTCTCACGAATGGTTTCATATGAGTTTCTCTTGCACTGAACCTTGCACGGATACTTTTTGTACCTTGTCTGCGCTCCCCCTGAAAAAACCACAAGGCGTTGCGAACCTGAAGAAGGCTATTTGCGTTGTTCGAAGCGATTCGACCATGGGAGTCGCTCTATAATTTTTTTATTGTTCGAGTTTAAGTCAGTTAGATGATGTTGGCGCTGGGAAACTCAGAGAAATGCTCGCGTTGCATTCAAACCGACACGCCGTTCACGGTAGGTTCACACTAAAAGACTGAAAAGATGACTGTGAGCGTCAGGTTTGGAACGCCGTGGCCGCTTCGTGAACTATCGATCGATGTAGTACATGAGCAATTAAGAAGCACAATTTATGAGCAAAGTATTTCACCAGTTGACGACACTATCGCTGAAGACTTGATTGTAAGCCGTCATAGTCAGTGAAGCGAACAACTCAGTTGCCGATGAATGGCAGATGAATACTGATGTGACGCTCGTCCATGAGCGAGGGACGTGACAACTTTGCCATGTTAGAAGACTGGCTTTTCCTTTAAATATTTCCTTCTATTTAATGCAACATACGCCACTTTGGAGATCTAAATTTCGGATACTGAGGATAAAGAAGACACGGACAAAAATAGGAACTCTGAGAATTTCGCACACAAGTTTAAAGCTTCTCCGGGACATCCCATCCGGGAGCTTCACAGAGAGCGACTTGAGGAAAATAGGAGCTATTACTGACAAGGTTTGGTGACTGAGTAGAGCATACAAGTGTAGCCCACGTCGAGGTTTCAGGGGGTTTGCTTTTGTTTGTATCTGTATCTTGCTAAGCTTTTATCATTAAATTTGTACAAGATCTTGTGATCACAATTCTGTGTTTTCGCCCATTCAGCAAGCACGCTATATTGATGTCAGCATTAGCGAGTTTCAGAAACATGCCTTTGAAAATTTTCAGCTCTCGTGATGTTTCTTGATATTTCTTTTACCATTTTATGGAGATGTAAACTGAAGTCACCGCAAAATGGAAACTTAAAAAAGCGTATAATCCATTTATCTCGAAACATAACACACATGACTTATACGACCTTTATTTTCGTAAAGGTGTTTTGAATACGAACGAACACAGTCAATGTGAGGGGCAAAAACAGCATTAATATAAATGAACCATAGGGTTTTAACTAATATAAGGGTCAATTATTGTGCATTGAGATGAATCGCTTGAAAAGAGAGACTTCGCTTGAAGATGTGATCAGAAGTAAACAAAGGCATAATAGTGCGTCACGTTCAGTCTTTTTAATATCCAAGGAGTCACTGTGAATAGTGTTTCCATATTGTTTAGCTGGCACAAAAACTTCGGACGAGTTATAAAGCGGCATAGTTATCTTCCATGAAGAAAAGTTCGTCTTGGGTGAGACAAACAGAACTGGAGCGAATTTTTAACTCGCATCGGTATCAGGTAAAAAATATGTTATCGATCGTTTCATCTATTTACATTGTTTGAAGTGCGTGCTGGTGAACGCAACATGCGAGCGAGAAGTCTTTAAACTTTTTTAGGTCTCAAAATGCAAAGGATTTTATTCCTTTAAGTTAGAGAAAAATACCATGAGGAAAATCTTAAAACTGAATATTTTTCATCTTGTGGAAAAAATAGTGCGTTTTCATGTAGACTGTGGACCGCAAATTAGGATCGCACTTTTCACAAACATGCGAATTCTGAAGTTCAGAACCCAACCGACGATTGCGTTTTTCGCTGCTGTCAATCATCTTAACGGACCTCTTAGGAAACAAAACTTTACTTCACGGGTTCAAAAGGTCATGGTTTGTGATTTGTGGATTTCGATCCGTTTTGTGTGTTTCTCTGTTTCAAGGTTCGTTGCTTGTGATCGTAATTATGATTGACGGCAGCGATAAACACGATTGTGAAGGTGGCTTTTGAACTTTAGAGTTCGCATGTTTGTGAAAACCGCAGTAAAGTCTCCGTGCAGTCAGTGAGGCCCGTAGATCAGGCGGGATCAATGGGCAGTTAACTGTCTGTTTTAGTATACTTCGGGTTTTCATACAATACAATATTTCTGTCTAGTGTAAATCAGCTCAGTCTGTCGCATTTTATGCTCGTAGAAAGACAACAATTTTTGGAATTTCCGGTTACGTCAAATTAGTCACGTTATACTGTCACGCTATATTTTGGGGCACAGAGGGATTGGGTGAGGGGTGCGTGGAAATAATGCAACTTGTTTCCTGTTTAGAATTAATGGCTAACTTGTTTATTTTTATTCATAATGGTGGAATTTAAAAGTTATTATACAGCCCCCACTTAAAAATGGTACTCTCTTTTTTGGGTTACGAAAGTCTTTCAAAAGGGTACAATGTTCTGAATGAGTTTATGTTTAAGTCTCACATGAGATTCTGTTGCATGCAATGGTTGCCGACAAGGTTTTATGGTAGCCTGAGTGTGTATAGCCGCCCCCTCCCCTCAGAAAAAATAGCCCCTTTGCAGCCCAGTTAAAAATCGCCTTTCGGCGATTCTTGTTCGTAGATGTTTTGATTTCATATTACCGGTATGTGATACTTTTATGGATAGAGACGCAGAGAGGAATTCAAAAAGGCTCTAGAGGGCTCTCTCAAGTTCTTTCCTGGAATAAAAATAAAACCAGAGCAAGAATTGTGTTTTCAAGACCTCGTAGTTTAAAGGAAAGATGTTCTCGGAGTATGTCGAAACTATGTCAAAGAAGACGATATCAGTGTTTCAGATATCTAAGTTCTGATTTACAACATCCTGCCGTTAAAAGGGTATTGTTACTGTAAATGAGAATAGAGCGAGGTAGCCATGTATTGAGATAGCCGACGGCACCAATCCTTTTAAAAAGCTTGACTTTGCTTGTGGCGGTTACGATAGCGTACGTACGCGTGATTGGAATTCGTTCGCTTCCTCTTCCAAAATTTTCTCACTTTTGAAATGTCTTAAGTTCAAGCGCGCGCCATCATATTTCGCCAACGGGATTGACCTTTGCTATAGGCTGTCACTTCTTTTTGAACTTGTAACAGCTTTCACGAGCTCTCTGTGAGGTGGTGGAATTTGCTGCTGCTTGATAATTTCTAGGCATAGGTGTTTCACCATCGCACCTTCCTATTTATTATTGCAGCTCCTTTCAACCACCCGAGAATACGAGGGATAACATCAGCTTTTTAGCTGCCAAACAAGCGCCTGATATAACTCTGTAAACAAAAGCAATTTACAATTTTCCAGGCACACGTTCATTTACAAACAGAGCGTTAGCGATCTTACACTAGCAGAATTCCAAAAACATGTTATAATTCGTCAAAAACCGCAGGCTTTACATTACAAGTTTTCGAAAACTCCTCATTGGAGGTTTCAGAAAAAAGCGAAATCGTAGCAACACAAGCACCGGAGCTCGGCCAGACCGTAAAGTGAGATTTATTTTAGGTGAACTTTTTGACACGTGAAGCTGAGAACCCAATGACCGGAAGTGATTTTGATTGGATGGTATCGAATCATGCTGTGTGGGGGTGGAAGGCTCCAGTAAACGCATCTGTGTAAGGCGTTTCTCTCCTTCAGCTCTCTCCCTTTTTCGCTTCAATCTTTCCCCTTTTCCCCAGAAACGCCTGATACTCAGGCTATGTTCTCACTGTTAATACTGATGTCGCTGTTGTCAAGGTTACCGCTGTTGTCGCTGTTGTCACTGTTGTCGCTGTTGTCGGTGTTGTCACTGTTGTCGCTGTTGTCACTGTTGTCGATGTTGTCCCTGTTGTCACTGTTGTCGGTGTTGTCACTGCTGTTTCTGTTGTCGGTGTTGTCGCATCTGTCACTGTTGTCACTGTTATCGCTGTTCTCATTGTTGTTACTGATGTCGCTATTGTCGGTGTTGTTGCTATTGTCGCTGTCGTCACTGTTGCCGCTATTGTCACTGTTGTTCCTGGTGTCACTCTTGTCACTCTTATCCCTGTTGGAGAACAGTGACAACAGTAAGAACAGTCATAACAGTGACAACAGTAATTACAGTGATAACAGTGACAACAGCGACACAGCGACAACAGTGAGAAGAGCGACAAAAGTGACAACAGCAACAACAGTGACAATAGTGCCAACGTTGACAATGGTGATAACGGTGACAATGATTACAACGGTGACAAAGGTGAAAGCAGTGACAACAGTCACAACGTTTACAACGGTGACAAAGTGACAACAGTGACAACGGTAAAAACAGTGACAACAGTGACACTGGTGACAACAGTGACAACGGTGACAACACTGACAACTNAACTTTTTGACACGTGAAGCTGAGAACCCAATGACCGGAAGTGATTTTGATTGGATGGTATCGAATCATGCTGTGTGGGGGTGGAAGGCTCCAGTAAACGCATCTGTGTAAGGCGTTTCTCTCCTTCAGCTCTCTCCCTTTTTCGCTTCAATCTTTCCCCTTTTCCCCAGAAACGCCTGATACTCAGGCTATGTTCTCACTGTTAATACTGATGTCGCTGTTGTCAAGGTTACCGCTGTTGTCGCTGTTGTCACTGTTGTCGCTGTTGTCGGTGTTGTCACTGTTGTCGCTGTTGTCACTGTTGTCGATGTTGTCCCTGTTGTCACTGTTGTCGGTGTTGTCACTGCTGTTTCTGTTGTCGGTGTTGTCGCATCTGTCACTGTTGTCACTGTTATCGCTGTTCTCATTGTTGTTACTGATGTCGCTATTGTCGGTGTTGTTGCTATTGTCGCTGTCGTCACTGTTGCCGCTATTGTCACTGTTGTTCCTGGTGTCACTCTTGTCACTCTTATCCCTGTTGGAGAACAGTGACAACAGTAAGAACAGTCATAACAGTGACAACAGTAATTACAGTGATAACAGTGACAACAGCGACACAGCGACAACAGTGAGAAGAGCGACAAAAGTGACAACAGCAACAACAGTGACAATAGTGCCAACGTTGACAATGGTGATAACGGTGACAATGATTACAACGGTGACAAAGGTGAAAGCAGTGACAACAGTCACAACGTTTACAACGGTGACAAAGTGACAACAGTGACAACGGTAAAAACAGTGACAACAGTGACACTGGTGACAACAGTGACAACGGTGACAACACTGACAACTGTGACAACAGTGACAACGGTGACAACAGTGACAACGATGACAACAGTAAAAACAGTGACCATGGTGAAAACAGTGACAATGTTAACAACAGTGAAAACAGTCACAAAAGTGACAACAGTGACAACAATAACAACAGTGACAACGGTGACAACAGTGAGAACAGTGACAAGGGTGACAACAATGACAACAGTGGCAAAGGTGACAATGGTGAGAACAGTGACAACGGTCACAATGGTAACAACGGTAGCAACAGTGACAACGGTGGCAATGGTGACAACAGTGACAACAGTAACCAAAGTGACAACAGTGACAACGGTGACAGCAGTGACAACTGTGACAACGGTCACAACAGTGACAACGGTGACAACGGTGAAAACGGTAACAACAGTGACAACTATGACAACTGTGACAATGGTAAAAATGGTAAGAACAGTAGAAACAGTGACAACAGTAACAACAGTGACAACAGTGACAATGGTGACAAGAATGACAACAGTGACATCGGTGACAACAGTGACAACAGTGACAACGGTGACAACGGTAAAAACGGTGACAACAGTGACAACGGTGAAAATGGTAACAACAGCGACAACGGTAAGAATGGCGACAATAATGACAATAGTGACAACTTTGATAACAGTGACAACAGTGACAACGGTGATAACAGTAACAACAGTGACAATGGTGAAAATGGTAACAACAGTGACAAAAGTGACAACACTGACAATGGTGACAACAGTGACAACAGTGACAGCAGTGACAACGGTGACAACAGTGACAAAAGTGGCAACGATGACAACTGTGACAACGGTGACAACGGTGATAATGGTGACAACAGTGACAACGGTGAAAATGGTAACAGCAGTGACAAGAGTAACAACTGTGACAAAAGTGACAACAGTGACAACGATGAAAACAGTAAAAACAGTGACAACGGTGACAACAGTGACAACGGTGACAACAGTGACAACAGTGAAAACGGTGACAACAGTGACAACGGTGACAACAGTGACAACAGTGACAACGATGACAGCAGTGACAACAGTGACAACAGTGACAACGGCGACAACAGTGAAAACGGTGACAACGGTGACAACGGTGACAACAGTGACAACGGTGACAACAGTGACAACGATGACAACAGTGACAACGGTGAAAA